TTAGTAGTGATTAGTTACCACGCTGAAGCAATCGCTGGCGGCCCCCCCCCCCCGTACTCAATCACAATGCCACCCCTGCCAGCACGCGCACGCCGCTTCTCAGGGCGCGCATGGGATGTGCACCAGCCATACACACGTGCCTCGCGCTGCCCTGTCTTTCTCAAACCCCGAGCTTCCAGGGCCCTTACGTGGGCCCGCGACCTCCAGGCCGCAAGAGACTTCACGATATAAACAATCGATCCTCCTCGCTCGTACAGGCAGACACACACTATTTGCGCTACCGATTAATACAATGTTTCCATGTGCATGCGCAGCGTAAGTCTACTACAATTTAGGAACGGCATGTGAAGTGTGTAGTGTGTAAAATTAATAATACACCCCACGACTAGCTAACTCTTAGATGGCCAGGAAACGACAGATTCGTTCAAATATATGTCTGGCATCTCGCGCCCTGTGGTGTTTGTGTGTCCAGCTAAAACACAACCCTTGCTGCAAATATCAACGAAAATACACTAATGGTGTTAGAAGCTTCCTCCACGATTTTGCTCTGTCAGACGCTTGTTGTATCCATGTTCGTGCTAAACGTATACGCATGCGTCTATGGTAGTTTGATGCATCCAGCGGCGTTCCAACAAGAGTTCCTTCGACAACGCGACACCAGTGATCATCTCAATAGATGATCGCAAGACGGGCAGCCACTGAGCACCATGTAGACCAGCGCTTCGGAGGTAGGGCCAGGAGGCCAAACAGGTAATGTTCGCTGTGATTTCGGCAATTAATTACACTTAATAAATTGAGGCAATCTATGTTCAGTATACGTTTTTGAGCAGCAGCTGGTCACACTATGTTAAATTATTAACGTTACTTGGCTGAAATAAGTACTAGCCTTCTATTATCTGCAAATCCCCCGCAACACCTAAGAGTTAATGACAGATGTTAAGTGTTTACTCGGGTTTCATATCTTTCAGAGGTTTCATGCTGACCCGACGTGACGCGGGGGGCCGCGGCCGAGCAACACACGAGTTGAACACGCCGCGTACGTGAGAGGTACGAATCGAACGGGGACTTGAAGACTTCCGACGGGCCGCTACTCGAGTGCCGGCAGGCGCAGCGAACGGGAGGCAATCAACGCAGAGGTTGATCGACCCCCGAGGAGAGGCCCACCGACGGATCGTGAACGACCCGACGCGTTTGACAGCAGCGTCTCCGGTCGAGTGACAAGGTAGCTGTTACATCACGGTGTGCATAAATCTCATCAGTGTAGATTCATGGATCTCAATGTGCGTCGATGACTTGCCCAGCCATTTATTTTTAATCCAGCGGCGTCCCATGTTCTAATTACATTCTGAGCAGTCATAAGTGATTATAAATTGGTCTGGTATAAAAACTAGCTCAGCAATTTGATCCAGCGACGATACACTTCAGCTAGTCCTTGGCTGTTGATTGCAACGACAGCCAATAGCGCGAGATAAAGACTATCTATGCTGCCATTCATAGGTGTGACATTTTGATATATAGTGGAGAATGCCCTTATATGATGATTATTTTACAATTGGGGATCGACTTTAGATTGATAGATCAAGAGATATCAGACACGACGCACCAGCGTGACAGAATAACGACGACCAAGTGAGCCGACCGAGCGCAGGGAAAGCAGAACCAGTCTCCGACGCAGGCCACACAGATCCCTCTGACTGGACAAGACACGCGTAGTATCCACGCCTAGTCGCGACGCGGTCCACACCAGCAAGGTGCAGGCCCGGGCAGAGTACACGGCGGCAAGCAGTGACCCGGCGAACTGGAGAGTGAGGGCCGCAGTGGCAACCGACCAACGTGGCACCATCTGACCGTGACCGCGAGCGACTCGCGTAGGAATGAAGAGTCTGATGCGTGCGCACAATTGACAGGGAGATCGACGCTTCTGCCAGAAGGTTAGTCCTGGCGGCCACTCCACGCTCCAACTTTGATTCACGCGTCATGAATCCACCGCCAACCCAAACGCAATTCAATCATCAGCCGCAACAGCCAAAGAGTTATGGTGGAGCCCAGAGGAGTGGGGAGGACCCGCCCATGAATGCAGTCAGTAGGTCCTACATCAGAGGCAACGACCAGTTCAACACCTCTGCCAAGGACCCACGCCGACGCAGGGGGACGCTGGCACGATAGAGCGCCTGCTCCTATGGCCAGTTCAATCAGCCCCAGATGAGTGGTTCCCTCTGCAGGAAACAAATATCCATAAGAATTCCTCAGGGTTGGGCCACCTGGCATTGTCACCACAAGTGGAGTGGCTTTATTCGAGTCAACATAGCCTCGTGTTGTCACTGACACGCATCGGGAAGGAGTCCTCGACATCATATGATGCTTACAAGAGACTTTAAATACGGTCGCAGGCTTCTAGTTTTTTTTAGAGTATGTGCAGAGTAGAGATTTAAACGGAATCAACGCAACATTCTTTAATCATGTTCACCAAGTTTTTTTTCCCAGTTCAACAATCATTATCTCATGCGATTTATCACTAAACTCCTGCTTAGCTATACGTTTCAGGGAAGATACAAGCAATGACATAACTAGCACAAGAGTTGACACTGTCATTCAGCGCAGTTTCGCTATTTTCAATCTTGATAAATATTCCTATCAACTAATGTGCAATAAACTATATTTCAAACTTACGCTGTTTCTGCGTCTATGATTCGCTCCGCATAATTGTTAATCATTAGTGACACAACCATTTACCTGACAAAAATCGTATGTGTCTTCAAAAAAAGTTCCTCTGAATACGAACCGGATTGCAGCAGTTTTCCAAAAACGTCTCTCCAATGTAATTCGGCTCAATGTTGAAATATGCGCGGCCGGCACCACAACCAAGTTGTAACTACGGGGAAGTGAGGGGTTGCTTGGCGAAATTAAGGTAAAGACCACTCTATAATATAATAAGATTATATTATAGAGATCAGTGAGCTATATTGGTCTAAACTTCTACGTTCTAATGTAACAAAATCGAACCCCATGAAACATCATGATTTCGCCGAAAGAGGGCGACTGATGCATAAATAGCAAAACAAGTTTCGTGTCGTAATTTTCTGTGTTAACAATTACAATTATGTCTTAATCTATTTATTTCCTTAGATCACGAAGTATTGCACAATTATTTCTTAACGTCTACATAGTCAGGAACAGCGCTGGTTTGTATTTTCGCATATTTCGTATGCTTTAGTGCAGTAAATGTATCAATAAGAGTGAAAATTGATCTTGATTTCGACCAAGGTTGGTGGTGTGACTGCCCTGTACACGAAGATGAGCAACATAAAATGGCCCTGGGCTGATCATCTGACCTGTGTATACACGTATATAATATATATAGGGAGTTTAGTATGTGGATTTTGCGCCGATTTCAGTCTTTTCGTAGAAAGGTTTTTTAAAAGTGGTATTCCCCCTTAGGGTTTAAAGAGTGAAGGTTATGTTGGCTGGAGAATCGTCATGCATAACAACAATGAAACTGAAAGTGATACAGAGCAAAGCCACAGGCACTTGGAACGTCTCAATAAAAAAATTAATGGTAAATAAACACGAAATGTACCAAAGTCTTAATGTTTCTCTACTCGATTTCGCCTATATAATCACCTGTAAATGCCGGTCAAATGCTCATCTGCAACACAAAAGTACACCGCACACCCGCCCTGTGCTGCGTGCATAAACAACATGAATAAGAGAGCAGGTAGGAAAGCGTGATCGCGAAATTCGCTCGACGCTCGCTTCATTTCACACGATCACAGAACGAAAACACATCCAACAGCTCCCATAAATGTTCTCTTGTTCGAATTATAACTCAGGCCTTTGTTCTTACTTACTCCCGCCAGAGATATCTCGGGAAATCCTGCAGGAAATGTTCTCTCCGTGAAAATGTAAAGAAGACGTATCATCCGAAAATCCCTAACGGCGCTACTTTCGATCGATCGCTGTAGTCGCGTGTGCGTGACGTCATTCCCGCGCGCATTGTGCTTGGCTTGGTAAGGGCGGAGTAGGTAAGAACAAAGGCCAGAGTTATAATTCAAACAAGTGAACATTTATGTACACATACAGGGTTCTCCCTACGTTGCGCAAACGGGGCGCGCGCCCCGTTTGGGAAAACTCCCCCCTGTTTGAATCGTTGCGCCCCGTTTAGCCGATGGATGTGCACAGCCATACACGTGCCTCGCGGGCCGCTTTCTCAAACCCCCAGAGCTTCCAGGGCCCTTACGTGGGCCCTGGACCTCAGCCGCAAGAGACTTCACGTATAAACAATCGATCCTCCTCGCTCGTACAGGCAGACACACCACTATTTGCGCTAGCCGTAATACAATGTTTCATGTGCGTGGCAGCGTATCTACTACAATTTAGAACGTGTGAGTGTGTGTGTGTAAAATTAATAATCACCCCCTCGAACTAGTAATTTGATGGCCAGAAACTACAGATTGCTTCAAATATATGTTGGCATCTCGGTGTGAGTGTTTGTGTGTCCAGTAACAAACCTTGCTGCAAATATCAAGAAAATACACTAATGTGTTAGGAAGTTCCTCCACGATTTTGCTCTGGTCAGAAGCTTGTATTATCCATGTGCTAAACAGTTACAATGCGTCTATGTGTAGGTTCGATGATCAGCGGCGTCCAACCAAGAGTTCCTTCGACACGCGACACAGTGACATCTCAATAGATGATCGCAAGCGGAGCCATGGAGCCCATGTAGACCAGCGCTTCGGAGGTGGGCCAGAGGGCAACAGGTAATGTTTGTGTTTGGGCCATTAATACATTAATATATGAGGCAAACTATGTCATGTATACGGTTTTTGAGAGCAGCTGGTCACACTATTTTAAATTCTTAAGTTACTTAGGTGAAATAAGTACTAGTTCTATTATCTGCAAATCCCCGCAACACCTTATGCGCACACTTACATGCCCGTAACATGCGGTACATGCATGTATGCATGCATGCATGCATGCACGCATGTACACGCATGTAACCGCATGCGTACCCGTTAACGCGTGCGTGCAAGAGTTATGAACAGATGTTAAGTGCTACGGGTTTCTCTTTCAGGTTTCATGACTTGAACCGCGACCGTGACCGCGGGGGGCCGGGCAGCAACACGATTGACCGCCGCGTCGTGGAGAGGTACGAGCGACGGGACGTGAAGCCTTCCGACGGCCGCTTCGAGGCCCGGCGGGCAGAACGGGAAGGCAATCAACGTGAGGTGATTCGACCCCCGAGGGAGGCCCCCACCGGGGATCGTGACGACCGACGCGTTGACAGGCGTTCCGGTAGTGACAGGTAAGCTGTTACATCACGTGTGCATAACTCATCAGTGTAGATTCATGGATCTCAATGTGGTCGATTGATTGCAGCATTATTTTTAATCCAGCGGTCCCATGTTTAATTACATTCTGAGGCATTCATAGTGATGATAAATTGGTCTGTGATAAAACTAGCTCAGCAATTGATCAGCGCGTACACTTCAGTAGTCCTTGGCTGTTGATTGAACGAAGCAATAGCGGAGATAAAAGATATCTATGTGCATTTCATAGGTGACATTTTGTATATTAGTGAGAGAATGCCCTTACTATGATGTTATTTAAATTGGGATCGCTTTTAGATTTGAACGATCCAAAGATTCAGACACACGGCACCAGCGTGACAGAATAAACGACCGACCGAGTGACCGACCGAGCGACAGGGAAAAGAGAACAGTCTCCCGACCAGGGCCACACAGATCCTCTGCTGACAAACGCGTAGTATCCGCGCCTAGTCGCGACGGTCCACCACCAGGCAAGGTGAGCCGGCGCGAGGACACGGGCCGGTCAAGCAGTGACCGGCGACGGGAGAGTGAGCGCAGTGACCGCCCACGCGGACCATCTGACCGCGGTGACCGCGAGGACTCGCGTAGGGAGTGGAAGTCTGAGCGTGCGCACATGCAGGGAGATCGACGTTCTGAGAGGTCTGGTCCTGGGCCCTCACGCTCCAACTTTGATTCACGTTATGAATCACGCAACCAAACGCAATTCAGCGATAACCGCAACAAGAGTTATGGTGGAGGCCCAGAGGGTGGGGGAGGACCCGTGATGAGTAGTGGTCCTACACAGGGCAGAGACCAGTTCAATAATTCCCAAGGACCCAGTCCACAGGGTGGACGCTGGCCAGATAGAGGGCCTGCTCCTATGGCAGTCAATCAGCCCCAGATGATGGGTCCTCCTGCAGGAAACATATACATAAATCCTCAGGGTGGGCCACCTGGCATTGTCACACCAATGGGTGGCTTTATTAGTAACATAGCTCCTGTTTTCACTGACACACGTGGGAGAGGTCCTGACATCTATGATGCTTACAAGAATTTAAATACTGGTCGCAGGTTCTAGTTTTTTAGAGGTATGTGCAAGTAGAGATTTAAAACGGAATCAAGAAGATTTTTTATCATGTTCACCGTTTGTTTTTCCAGTTCAACAATCATAGTCTCATGGGAATTTTACTAAACTCTGCTTAGCTATCCTTTCATGGATGATACAAAGAATACATAATAGAGAAGAGTATGACACCATTTTAACAGAGTTTTGCATAGTTTTCAACTTGTAAATATTCTATCAATATGTGAATAAATATATTCAAACTTACCTTGTTTTCGTCTATGATTCTCCCTTAATGTTAATCATATGACACCACCCATTTACCTGAAAATCGTATGTTTTCTTCAAAAAAGTTCTTTGAATACGACACGGTTTCACAGTTTTCCCAAACGTTCTCATGTATTCGGCTCATGTTGATATGCGGCGGCACCACCAGGTTGTAACTACGGGATGCTGGGGGTTGTTGGGGATATTAGGTAAGCACAGTAACAGCACTTGTTTTGCTTCCTTATCATCAGGAACATGATGGCAACACGGCTAAAATCAGCTGCTAGCTCGCCGTGAGCACACATTTATTTTTAACACGCTGGAAACGCTACACGCTGAATACAACTCGATGCTTAATAATCCCCAACAGCCCCCAGTGTTCCGTCATAGACAATAGAACACTAATAAACTTAATATAATAAAGATTAAACATAATAAACTTGCGCCAAACAAATGCGCTCATTTGGAAAAACTGAAACCGTGTCGTATTCAAAGAACTTTTTTGAAGAACACATACGATTTTCAGGTAAGTTGGTGGTGTCGTATGATTAAGGGAGAATCATAGACGAAAACAAGGTAAAGTTTGAATATATTTATTCACATATTGATAGAATATTTATAAGTTGAAAACTATGCAAAACGCTGTTAAAACGGTTTCATACTCTTCTTTATTATGTACTCTTGATGATATTGATAAATAACGCTCATAGGGTCTATGTCCCCCAGGGTACTGCCGGAACGTACCCTGGGTACGGTCCGGTATACCGGAACGTACCCTGGTAACTATTTGACATGGTTATGGTTAGGGAGTAGGCGTAGGCGACTCCCTAGACTCGTTAGGGAGTAGGCGTAGGCGACTCAATAGTGGAGTAGGCGAGGTAAGGCATATTAGATAGTACCAGGGTACGTTCCGGTATACCGGACCGTACCCAGGGTACATTCCGGGAGTACCCTGGGGGACATAGACCCTCTCAGCATAAATAACCTACAAGTATTTTTAAACCTGCTGGATTAAATGTATTAGAAGTTAGTTAATTGGTATTGTAAATTTGAATATTTTGCACATTTCTCTGTGTTTGAATTTATTCATTTGAATGAGCATTAATTGCTATCATTAGTTAGTGAAAAGGCTATCTTTGTTAGCATGATATAAGGTATGCTTATAATTTAGCAGGTCTGAAGACCTAATTAAAGTTGTGTACTTATTTGAATGAACTTCTAAAAAGTTTTTATTGTTACTATTACTTGACAATCGTTGGGGTCTTGGCCTAGAGGGTCATGGGGATTAATTGCTGTTTTCTGTTAGCAAACTGGATTGCTCATGTGAAATATGAGGATCGCATTGTAACATTACAGCCACCGACTTGCACCTGTCATAGTCACCACACAAGAATAACCAACAAGATAAATTGCTTGTTGCTTTTCACTAGCTACAAATAAAGGTTTATATTTTAAAAATGTACCAAGAAGAAAAAGATTGTAAGGTTATTTCAGTAGTGAATAAATGAAAATGATTTTTTTCATTGTTGCTGATGAATTTTGTTAAATTGTTATTATTACAAATGAAATTTGTAAATAAAAATGTTTTATTATGCAATATAGCAAGTATTGAAAAGAAAGCAAGAACTGAAGAGTTTGCAGTGCCAACAGCAACATAGTAACATGGTCTTAGATCCATAGACGTATATATGAGACCCTGCCACTGGTTAGCGTGGATTGCCCGGTAATTTGTACGGGAGCACGCGAGTCAAAATTAGCGGTGTACGGGACGACCTCGGGAAAAAATTACGGAGCAGCAAAGAAATCTCTGAAATTTATATATTTTACATAATGCCAAAAAAATGAAGATAAACACAGTGTAAAATCAACTATTATCAGTACATGGACTACTGGGTCTGTAGATTTTTAGACTAATAGCTCTTAAAATGTAACGCGTAGCTACCTGAAAATGTAAATTAGTGGCTGTGTTATGCGCTCGTCTGTCTGGTTTATGGTAAGTCTATAAGACTATTCAGTGTCGTGTGTGTGTCGCGCGGCCGCAGCGGCTTGTGTGTATGTGTGGAACTGCAATTGACATCTTCTGTATGCCCTAATTAATGTTATTTTATACTGTAATAAGACTGACTAAAAAGGTGCTTACTGCAAAATGCCTATTTGGTTACGGAATAAAATCCAAATAATTATTACTGATGATCTCAAGATGGGGTTGGCAGGTCTTATATCGTATGTAAATAATTATAAATTTTTAACACAATTTGATTATTTCCTCCTGATGTTATGACGTATCACTATGTAGTCCGATTAGTGCCTATCCGGTATACTATCCTTGCATGGGCTATTCCATTCATGGTTCCATTCCTTTTGAGGGATGTTTAATGCTTGAACACAATCTGTAGATATGCACTGGAAGGCTTGTCTGTGTAACCTCGTAAAGATTATTATGTCTACTAGGCCAGCCTAGTGAGACCTAGATAATGTCGAGATACTATAAGGTTTTATTGTTGCGAAATGCAATATACAGGGTCATAAGGACTCCACAAACACTGCCGGATGCTATTTGCATATGGTGTAGCATTTTGGCATAATCGGCCTAATAGGTCACTTAATTAGGTCAACAATCACATAAATCAAGAATATATCTTCCTTAGTAATCCAGCATAGAGACTTCAATTTCGTTTAGTCTAAGATCTGCGGCAGAATGCTTTAGCAAGTTTTTCCCGACAGCTAAGCAATGATCTGGCATGGCATTCAAACCCCTACCTTCTATCCGAGCTGCCAGGACAATCAATATGGGCTGCCATGCATAAATGAGGTAAACCGTAAAATCACCGATAACGTGAGGCAACTGTTGGAAGATAGAGAAGCTTGTGTTTTGATGTTTAAGGCCCATGTATCTTAAACACCAAGGATTCCATCGTCTATAGGACTTCTATATTTAACAGTAAGCTTATTATTATATATGAAATGTTAAATATTATGATGCAGCTAGATTAATGGAATACATTAGGAGAACACCCACACCATCAAACTAGCTTACTATTCGCGCTTGACTTCATGGGCTTGTGATCATTCTCTCCAGTCTAAGATGGCTCTCTCCTTACCTTTGCTCTTTATATCTTCCTTCCAGGCATCATCTCGTCTGTGTCCCAGTGAGTTACAACACTCATCTGTCCTCCTTGCACACACATAGTGGCTGGGTACATGACAATCCCATTGACTGCACACCACACTTCTCTGCCTGGCAGGCATTTTTCCTCTGCTCGGCAGGCTGCAGCTAATGCGTGGCGCATGAGTTTTTTGGTGCGGTAGGTTCTCTTTGAGCAGCACTGGACCACTTTCATCGTTTAGGCAGTAACTTCCGCATGGCCATAGTTTAGTGATTTGGACAGCAGGAGGGTCAGCCTCTGTGCTGCAGCTTGCCATAGCATCTTTGGAAGATGTTGCTCATCGGGGATAGGGAGTCCTCAGGTGATGTCTGTCTGGTGGAAGGACTTCAACGGATGGAGGATTCTTTTGCTTGCCGATGAATCTCGTACCATGGAAGCATTCCATTGACGTGCATTTTTCTGCGCATATGTAAATGTAAGAAGGAAGGGGCTTGGCCTAGTTGCCAATCAGGCACTGGTCAAGTGCCATCGTCCTTGTCAAGAACGCCCTGAGTCTAGTCCAGCAATTTGCGTCTGGTTGAAGCCACTTTCAAGGGCGGGACACTTGTCCGCTTTCGCATGTGAGGATTTACGGACACAGTGTCACAGTCCCCTGAGAGTGCGTGCATACCAATATTTCCGTTGCACTTTCCTCTCCTTGGTGACAGTGGATGAATGTCAAGCACGGATGGCCATGCCGACTTCGCTCCATCTGAACATGGCCATGATACGCCAATTCTTCGCAGGCACCATTACACGCAGGCAGCACGGAAACTTCTGGTGTCGTCAGCTAAGGATGCGCCAGCAGTTTGAGCTCCCGCGATGCAGCACGAGCATGAGGAGCTGAATTGAGAGAATATGTCTGCTTCATCATGATGCCAACAATACTGTTGGCTGTGGCCTCACAAGTTCAATGTTGCTACCAATATCAAAAAGTTTAAAGGCAAAAAACAAAAGTTGTCTATGACCTGGAAACGCTATTCGCCAGCGTCTCCTGATCAGTTGGACAGAGGAGGATCTTGAGTGTTGTCCTGCTGTCTTCCATCATGAGCGTGCCTGCTTCCCTGTTTCTCCATCACTTCATCGACGGAGATATGGAATTCCTCGAACGGAACAGTCAGTAGCTATAGTTAAAATCTCGGCGTCTATCATAAAGGACTCTCGCTCGGGCACGTCTGCTGTGGACGCCTCTCAGCTAGCTACTTTACCCACAATGTCTGCGCCATCCTCGGGTACAGTGGGGTGATCATTGCTGAAGGAAGGAAATCTTGCCTCATCAATACAGATAAGGCCAGAACTTTGTCATCCTTATCGGGCCATGAAAGGTATCGGTTGCAAAGGATCACGAGAGGCCAGAGGAAGAGCCGGGGAAGCGGATCCACTGCATATTAACGCGACTCGAACTCACCACTAGCATGGTCGTGTATGTGCATTGGCATGAAAAACAAGCAACAATTACAACAGGCAGGCTCTCACAAACTACTCGCATACAACATAATCTTGGGTAGGCAACATTGAACTGTGAGCGCAGAGCCACCAGTATTGTGCTCATGATAGAGCAGAGGTATCTCTCATCAAGCTACCTGCTTCGTGCTGCATGCGGTGTGCGCATCCTTAGTGATGACGGCAGATGTTATTCGAGGGCTGCTCGTGTACGTCTGGAAGGATGCGAGTACTGCATGGCCATATTCAAGATGAAAAGTGGGATGGATCCGTGCCTTGACATCAATGCCATGGTCACCAAGCTCTGGAAGAATGCCAAGAAAATATTGGAATGCACTCAGCTCTCAGGCTGTGACACGTGGTCCTATCCTAATGGGAAAGGTGAAGTGGTCCGCGCCCTGAAAGTGCTCAACCAGACCAATATTGCTGGACTAGACTCAGTTTGCTTGAAAGGACGGATGCCAGCTGACAGTGAAGCCTTGGATGGCAAACTGCAAACCTTCTTCTTACATTTATATGCCAGAAGAATGACGCATCAATGAATGCTTCCAGGTACGAGATTCATCTGCAAGCAAAAGAATCGCCTGCCAGGCCTGAAGTGCCCTCTCACGCAAGCATACATCAAACCTGCAGATCCCCTATACCGAGAGCAGCATTGCTCAAATGATTGCTCCCTGGCAAGGCTGCAAGACAAGGCGACCCTCCTGCTGTCCAAATCACTAACCTATGGATGGGAAAGTACTGTAAACCGAATGAATGTGTACCAGTGCCAAAAGAACCTACCGCACCAAAAAGCTATGGACGTTCATTAGGCTTGCAGCTGGCCGACAGAGGGAAATGGCCCTGCAGCCAGAAGTGTGGTTGTGGGCAGGCAAATGGCATTGTCCATGTAGCCATGCTCTCGTAATGTGTGTGAAGGAGGCAAATGAGTGTTGTAAGCTGCACTGACACACGAGATGATGCGAAGAAGGATATAAAGAGCATATACGATAGCAGATAGGATATTAGGACTGGGGAGATATGATGCACAAACATGAAGAAGAAGGCGAATAGTAAAGTAGTTGATTGGGTGGGTGTCATCTAGTGTATTCCATTGATCTAGCTGCATCATAATATTTAAAATTTTCATATATAATAATAACTTACTGTTAAATATATAAGTTATATAGACGATGGAATTGCCTTGTGTTAAGAACATGGGTCTAAACATCAAAACAAAGTCTCTATCTCCTCCAACAGTTTTGCGTCAGTTTTGGCTGATTTTACGTTGACCTCATTATGGGCATGGGCAGACCATATTGGATTTCTGGCAATGGCGAAGGATGGTAGGGGGTTTGAATGCCATGCCAGATCAATTGGCTTAGGTCGAAAACATGGGTCAAGACACACGAATAAGTTCTCTATGTGGATTACTAGAAGATATTCTTTGATTTTGTGATTTTACCTAAATTAATATGCTATG